GCCTGGAAAACATAGCATTTGCTTGCTCTTGATTGTTACTAGGAAATTGCTCCAGTGTGGGGCAATCTTCTGAGAGATGGAATGGGCTAGTGCATAATGCACACACCGTATTTGCTGAATTTTGAGACAAAGAAGGAGAGAGATGCGGTGCCATTAATTGATAGAATTTGTGAGCTATGGCATCCACTTGAGATGATTCTTCCCTCATTGTCTTTGGTTAACATAAAGTGGGGTTCTTGGCATTGGTTGAGGTTGGAGCCCTACGAGAATTATGTTATAATGAGTTTTCACTTAAATTCTCAAGTAAGGTCCAAGCCTCATCCGCATTTTTAGACATGAACATCCCTCCACAAGATGAGTTAACCATGAGTCTATGTGGTTCGGTTAAATCATCATAGAAAGCTTGCACCAATTGCCATTTTGGAATTAGGTGGTGCGAACATTTCCTAAGGAGGTCTTGAAGTCTTTCCCAAGTCTTATGGAGTTGTTCTCCATCGATTTGGGAAAAGCTAAGAATGGAACACCTCATTTGATTGGTTTTACTCACCGGATAGTATTTTTTTAAGAATTCTTGTTGCAATTGTGCCCATGTAGTGATAGAATTTGCAACAAGGGAGTTCAACCAATATTTTGCCCTATCTTTTAAGGCGAATGAGAAGAGACGCAAATGGAGTGCATTTTTAGAGAAGCCCCTAAGCTTGTTGGTAGAACAGATTTCAAGGAACTCATCAAGATGTTTATAAGGGTCTTCATTTTCAAAGCCATGAAAGGATGGAAGCATTTGAATTGTGCTAGATTTGATCTCATATTGGGCTGCGTCGATGTTTGGCATCACTATGCAAGAAGGAGAGGCATAAGTGGTAGGGATGAAATGGTCCCTAAGAGTTATAGGTACCACTTTTGGAATTTCAGCCCTATCATTATTGATTCCCTTATTCCTGACATTTTCTTCATTTCCGGCCATTGTATTAAATTCAAGTTCAATTTCTCTTATATTTTCAGATTCCCTAATGTTTCTTTTAAGAGTTCTTTCAAATGAATTTATGTCAATTAGGGCTTCAAGAGTTAGCAAAGATAATGACCTACATCCCAACATCAACAACATAATTCACAATAAGCACAACACTTCTTCATTATAACATCCACATACAATTTTCCCTTTCTCCTCAATTATCAACAAGACAGAAAATAAATGGCCACGATAAGGACCGATGCTTTGTAATATAATAAAACAGGAATAGCCTCGACAAGGGCTTCACAATAAAAAATCACTAAGTTAAACACATGCAAAATATTCACAATTTTGAAACTAGAACTTTGAAAAACTTACCTGGAGTCCTCTAACCTCACGATATTTTCAGTTTTCCCTCGATAAGCCTCGTGTTCCTAGAATCTCATAAGAATATTTAAAACACAATATAACTAAAACCAAACAAGAAAATATCCACAACAACACAATATTCACAATCAAACCAAAGTTAATCTTTGAACCTTGGTTACAAAACCGTTTGCAATCCTCGGCAACAGCGCCAAAAATTGGTCGGTCGGTTAACGTCTACCAAAATTAATCAACCCTTACAATAGCACAAATCATTGTAAAATAGGGCTATCGTAGGGGTAAGCCGAACCACAAGGACTGCAAGTTTATGGCAACCAAGGTCGTTAAAATCACTTTGTTTAATGAAAGAGGAGTAGGGTTTGGTTTTGTTTGTCACTTAAAAATTAGAATCGAAAATTGCATAAAATAGTAAATTGAAGGAATTTAAGAGGAGAGAACTTATGTAGAGAGGATTAGGGAAGTGAATCAACTATCAACCCTACAAACATGCTAGCTTATGAATAATTTGGGAAACAAATTAAATAAATGGCAATGATAGGTAGCAATACAAGATTACTACATTATCTTCAAGAAGTTCATAGAATCAAGAGTTAAGTATAATCCCTTAAAGTTCCACATGCTTGAACTACCTAAATTAGAGTGTAGCTTTGATATGCTCACTGTGATACCCCTCAGCTCCGAAACACGGGTTGATCAGGCCCAGGTCCAAGCCCAAACCCGAGGGAAATATCTAACAATAAATATGTAACCGAACACAGAATACAAGATGAAATAAGAAATAAAATAATAAACTGAAGGAATGCTAATTGAAAATCCTTAAAATAAAATTATTCAAATCTGATAATCCAAAACTCCATAAGTTTAACAACTCGGGAATCCATCTAGTGGACCCCTAATAAAAATCCCAACTGTAAATGAAAATACTGAAATAAGATCCAAAGCTAAAAAGTAAGCAGTCCTACGTAGTCGATGGAATAGAAATCTATATCTGCTCTACACGACCAAGCTCTAACCCTGGAACTGACGAGCACCTGAAAAATAAAAGAGTGGGTCAGGCCCACATGCAAGTCCTAATCTACTACGATTCAAACAAGAATTTGATACGCAGATACATCCTAAATAGACTCAACAATATCTAGAGTAGTCCATATATGTATATATTACACACTATAGGACGCTCACTAGTCTAATAGGTCTGTCTCGGCTTGAGTAGAGATACCATGCAAATCGCACATTACGTGGTCATGTGTACCTAGACCTACCAGGGAACAGCAACTACTGTCCAGCTATCCATCCTAGGCGATATACGCGCCATAACCACGGTCCTGAGACTCAAGCTCATACCATGACACCATATAATAAATATATATAAAGTCCGTACTCCTAATACAAAATATCATCCATCTGTATAGTGGTTTGATACATGTATCACAACTCCATCCTGAAACCACAGTAGGTCATTCAATTATTTGATTGACATGACATAAGTAGGTGATGGACTTAACCTATATGATTAATCCATACCTTAATCCAAGTTAGGTAGAACTTAGTATTTGAACTAATCCATACCTAGCATGTCACCGTCCCATACCGGTACATACAATCCTCCGGTTAACATAGTTGACGATACAGTATTAAATAGTCATCAACCATAATATGCACAAGATAAATTAATCCATATACATAAATATATGGCATTCAATACAGGGCCTAAAATCATATCCAATGTTGTAAACTGCTATCACATACGCAACCATTTATATCCTCTAACAAGATCCATGAATTGATACAATTTAGTACAATTGAAGTACCAATTAAATCCATACTAAGTATAGTTGATTTCAATTAATTTACCATACCTATAGCACTGGAAAAATATATGATTATGTGCAATTAGATTATATATAAAAACCTTACACAGTTCTAGTATATAAAACTAGTAAAACAGTGAACAAATTACCCATCTTCTCTTAGGTTCATCTTGCTCAAATCTCTAATCCAGTTATGATTTTATATTTTTCCACCATAAAACTAGCCTTATACAATCCCACACATCATTTAAAACCATTTAGATTAATTGCAGAAACACTGAAAACCCAAACAGTTTAAAAAACTACATTACAGTGCCTTTCAAGAAGAGCAGGCTCTAGAAAAATGAGAGCCTTCTCGATGTTTTCACCTAGAGCCGGCTCTAGGATCTTAGAGCCGGCTCCAAGACACCTAGATCCGGCTCTCCCCTTTGGGAGCCGGCTCTAAAAAGGTTGGGAGCCTTCTCTCTCTCCTCTTAGCAGCCTCGTCCAATCTAGCTTCGTTTTCTTCAACTCCAGTGACTTACATAACCCTTTTAATATGTTCTAAATCTTATTCTAGGTTCAATCTAAGTCCTACATAAATTTTAGACCACTGATATCCAATTAAAACATGTACGGAACACAAGTTTTAAAGCAACGATTATAAAATCCTCGTTAGCAAATTTTAAGCAAGTCACAACAGATTCTTTCAGATTAATGTAGTGCAGTTAGATACTGTTCTAAGAACTTGTTCTAGGGTTCAAACTCAGTCCCAGATTAGTTACAAGGCATCTAATCGCATTACCAATCTCAACTAAAACAAGCTTAATCGTAAACCACAGAAGAAATAAATAGCAAAACATCAAAGTTTATTCAAAGCAGCTAATTCACGAGATTTAAACAAAATTCATGTATGCATAAAAGACATGGTATTATGTTGGTTTAAATCCGTTTTAGCCTTAATTAAATCCCTGGAGTCTAACTGGGCATGCACAGAATACGAATTAAATGGAAGGAAAAGAACAAAGACTTGCCTTTGAGTCTCAAACTTGAAAACTAATTCCACGTCTCTGAATGTTAAACCACCGTTGTTGCTCCTACTGCAGTCCAGTAACACACACTAAACTTCCCTCCTTGATTCTGTTTTGTGAACCACCCGAATTCCTACTCCGGTTCTCTCTGTATCTCTCTGGTTTTCATTACCAAACTAGAGACTCTGTTTGTGGTTTACAGAAAGCATGTTTATTTTCTCTAAACCCTAAACCACCGTATTACATATATTTATAGGTGTAAATTAACACTAACCCTAATCCATGTATAATTAGAGGCTAAGCCCTAATTCCAATCCTAACTGGCCCATGAAACTATCAAGTTGTATCATACGACGGCTACCTTTACGTGAACTTTAAGTCAAGTTATCACCGTAACCCTAAGTTACCATAAAAGATAAAAAATAGTATATTAACTAAATAAAACAATTAAATCAGTTTAATAATTAAACAGGTAATTACTCCCCATTACATAAATTTAGCACTTAATTAACTAAAACCAATTAAACAAATAATATTTAATCAACACAATAAAACAATAAAACAATTAATCAAATAAAAAAAATTAAATCAAAAATTAAATACCAGAAATATCCTTTTAAAATTAGGGGTATTACACTCACTAAGCTAGGGACTATCAAACCCCTCAATCACTATGGTAAGAGTACATGAAGTCAAGAATCAAGAAACATCCATCAAAGGGAGGCCCTAAGCTATGGACTAATAAGTTTTTCATACAACATGCCAATAAACCTATTTTACAATCTCATTTACATTCTCACTATGAAGATGCAAGCTATATGATTATGAGAGGAAACAATCTAAGACAAAATAATCAACTCAAAATGATCATTTATAGACATTAATATCCATTACAACATGTAAAGTGCTCTAGATTATGAAAATACCATATACACACTTCATTCCCCAAATTAAAATCAAAACTAGAGCATGCTTACAAAGAAGGGCTTCATCACCTCCCTAGAAAGGGAGTTAGTTACCCATGGATGCAAATGAACAAGGTGTGGATGAGATCCTCCCCTCCATTTTCGCACTTAGCAGCCAAGAATAACTCACAAGCTCTCAAGAAACCTTACAAAGTGAGATATCTCTTTAGAACCATACAAGCCCCTTTTATGAGCCAAAAATCCTCCCAAAATTAAGTAAATTCGTGGCTAGAAATCCCTAGAAGAGTGCAAAGCCATCCATTGGGTCAAGGGGACAGCATTGGGTGAAACAATGCAGCCCATGCTTTGTTGTCTGCAAATTGGCGGGCACCTACAGCGTAGGGCGGGCGCCGGCGAGGTGTCAAGGGGCTGCCGTGGGGTGCCAAGATGGCTAATGGCGGGGCCCCGCCAAACTTCAAAGTTTCTGCCCTAGGGCGCTCACAGATATAGCGAGGCCCTGCAAAAATCCAAAGTCTCTGCCTGCGGGCACCCGCAGGATTGGAATATGGATGGCCGGCACCCGCCATGGTGCTGCCTTGCTCACTTCTCTACTGAATTAGCATTGGCTTAACCTGAAGATGTAACCATCCTTCTTAGGCTTTGCAGAGAGGGCCATGAGTTCAATGGAACAAAATAGCTTTACAAAACTAAAGGTCCCCAGCCCGGCATGCGTTGATCTTCAAGAACTCACAAAGCTTCACTTTTATCTCTATTTGGGGAAACAACCTGAAAGAAAACAAAATCATGCAAATGAAGATAATCTATACAATATGATCAACTAATGGACTTAACTAATGCAAATAAGGGCGCTTGAATATGCAATATTCGGCGCTTATCATCTCACTACCCTCCAGTTTCAGGTACCGAAGATGAACGGGGATTGCTAGATTCGGGCTTAGGTGGAAGAGTCGGCGTTGCAGGATTTATTTATTTATTTGGAGAATTTTTGTGTATATTGAGGAAGTTGATTTTGTATAACAGAGAGCATTTTCATTTTTTTTATTTTTTTTTTTATGATCCTGAGTGTATTTTGATGTATTTGGATTTGGATAAATTTAGGATTTTATTAGAATTTTTGAGTCATGACACATAATATATGTATATATATATATATATATATATATATATATATATATATATAATATTAATATATATATTCATGCATAAATCCATGGGCCTTTAAACCATCCCAAATCATTTAAAGCTTCTTTCTTTAGTCCAAGACCGAAATCCTTTGGTCCAAATAGTCAAAATCTAGTGCATTAAACTTAAACAAATAATTAAATAAATAAACAACTAATATTAAAATCACTTAATATATGTAGCACATAAACAAACAAGAATTTCAACAATCAATATAATCCATGTAAACAAAAGTAACACATCAACAAATCGATCAACAAACAAGCACATACACACAACCAATCATCATATCAATAATTCAAATAAAATAAATAAATAAATAATTTAATTTAAAACAAATAAACCTAATAAATCCATTTAAAGTCAATTAATTTAATTAAATAATTCCTCTAAAATATAGGAGTATTACATAATGTCAAGCTTATATTGCATAACATGCTTCAATAGCTATCCTTTTAACAATTCACCTTTTACAATTCTAACTTCATTGCATGTGTACATAAACCTCAAAGAAATAGCATGAATTTAAAATTGAGGTAATCATGTTGAAACCTTACAACACTTAAACCACATAGCATGTTATACACATAGAATTTCAATTTAACTCATACCGCTACAATTGAGTACATATCAAGTAGTAATTTAGCATAGTTCGTCACACAATTTAACACTAACAGATCACTACCAAATAAGCCTCAATTTAGCATGTAAGAAGTATGGTAAAACATAAATTCAACTACTAATTTAAAGGACTATGCAAGTTAGGCATCCTTACCTTTTAGAAGCTCAAACTCTAACCTCTACCAAGAACTAAAGTCCACCAAATGAAGGCCTAAACATACCAATGAAGAGAGGAGGACGAGGAACAAATTTTCCTCTTGAAGCATCAACCAACTCCCACCTTCAAAGGGAATTTCAAAAAAAGGAAGAAATAGGGATGCCTTTGACATTAATGGAAAGCTCTCATCATAAGGAACATTTGATCCTTAAGCATGGCCAAAATCCTATTACAAAGTTCTCAAAATCAAGCTTCAAAGGAAGCTACAATGGAGGAAAAATGGAAGAAAGAATAAAAAAGAAAGGAAGAGGAAGAAGAAAGACAAGTTTGCCGAATATAAAAAAAGTGTCCTCCACATGCTTGGTCAAAAATTGACCAAGCAAAATGACTAAAATACCTTTGAAGCCTCCAAAACCATATCTATGCCCCTTACCGAGCCAAATACCAAATGTAACCCCACATATAAGACAAATAACATATAAAACATTTAAATAAATCCAAAAAATAATTTCGAAACACACAAATCCAGGCGTGGGATCCACATGGAACCTCCCGGACCAAAAATTCAAAAAATACAAAAATGACCCAAAATGTATTTATAAGAGTCCTAAACTCAAAGAAATACTCAAAATTATTCTCGGAACCCTCGTGACACGCTAACCAATGCATGATACTCAAAACGAGACAAAAAAATAAATAAATACAAAAAAATCAAAATATGCCAGAAAATAAAAAAATGCGAAACATCACAGCCACTATGAAGGGTCATGCTAAATTATAGTAATTCTGACCCATTAGAAAAGCGAATGTGAAGACTGCCCCTAGCACTCCTCTGTTCCTTTTGATATCCTAAATCTCGCTTGTATGTAATTTCGTTCTTGTATTGCCAGATTGAAATAAAAAATACGTATTTTATCTAGTACTGAATTTATTTAATTTTCTTTTTTGTTTTTTTATCATCATAAAATATCACTAGTATCTCTCCATCGTTTTGAATTGATGCGAAGTATTAAGAGTGGTTATTTTAGAATCATCATTTAATTTAAAATGTAATCATTTCATTAAAAATGTTCAAATATTTATTAAATTTACATTTCATATACATTGTTTTATTTCTATTATTTTTCTTTTATTTTAATTCTAAGTTGTTTTGCCACCAATTAATGATTGACAGGTAAAGTGAAATATGACGGGTAAGCAAAAAGTAGAATAGAATTGATGCAAAACTTACATATATACTTAAGTTGATTAGCTCGGAAACAATGGTCTCAGGACATTGCTTTTCAAATGACACAGTGGTTACTTTTCAAAATGATTACGTGGTAACATTGATCTTTGTTTTGTTGCAGAGGATACTACTGATCACCTCTATTCTCAGCTTCACAATTCACACAATGGTCTCGGGACATTGCTTTTCAAATGGCACAGTGGTTGCTTTTCAAAATGATTACATGTGGTAACAGTGATCTTTGTTTTGCTGCAGAGGATACTTACTGATCACTTCTATTCTCAGCTTCACAATTCACACACACACACACGCGCGCTCACTTACAAACCATAAAAGCTCCCATTATGGGTTTATAATGGAATTGATAATTGTTGACGCTAAAATTTGATGGCTTAATCGTTCCTAATTTTGATCTACTGTGCGGGCGTGTCATAACCAATTGTATAGTTCGAGTGTGAGTTGTCAACGTTAGTTTCTTTGATACTATTGACTATCAGACGATGCAAGGAGAAAGAGAATAATAAAATTCCTCTTTTGAGTTCAGGATTGCCTTAATTAAAAGGACTTTATTAATGAATAATTATAGTAACAATTTAAGATAATAGAAAGGGGAGAAAATATAGATATAGAAAGTGAAAGGAGAGGAGATGAGATGAGAGAGAAAGATATAGGGAGAGAGATAGAGATAACAAGGATGCTATATAGGAAAAGAGCTTGAGAAAGCAACAATAATAATAAAAGATTTTGAGGGTGTTGGACCTCTAGCACAACATACCTCTTTGTTTATTTATAGAATAATTCGTAAAACAAATTCCTATATGCAAGTATTTTACTTGCATTACAACTCTATCAAAACTAAACTATAAATTCAAAATAAATTAATCCTATAGGTACATAATTATGCAACTAAAACTAACTAAAAGATAAGTCTTAAAATAATGATCTTATCCACAACTTATTCAAAATACTCTTCCCATCTTTGCATGCAATTTCAACTTCAATCTACGTGTAATATCACCCTTCTCTATTGCCATATCATCAATACAAAATTTACCAAAATGGGTGTCAACAATGCCCCCAATTTTAAATATCTTATCGACTGTCGGCCGCCCAAGCCGATAAGATATTTGAAATTTTAAAAATACATTGGAAGGAAATTTTGAGTTAATAAATTGGAATAAGATTGCAAATCAACGAAGCTCTAAAACTTTATTTCTTCTGAATCATCCCTAAGATGATCTTTATTTAGCCAAATTTTTCGATTTAGGCTTCTTCCTAGATTCTTATAAAGTATATCGATATCACTTGCCCATAAACCCAGGAAGGACTTGCCCCCCATGCATTTTCTAACTCCGCTAGCAAATCATGATCATGATCGGCATAAATTAAATTATTGCGAAACGTCATTCTAGCCGATCTGCCTATTATCTCTACTAGATGAATGACATTGTGCCAGCAAGGAGTTTTCTTAGTTGATTTTGCCTCAGCCGATTTTACATTCAGCTCAATCGACAGGACTGCATCATGCCCAAAAATCCATTGATCGGCAAGCATTACCTCAATATAATCGGCAAAATAAAGTGGAGGGCATGGATCAACTAATTTTCGTTGGGGGTTAGCAATCACATGCCCCCCGGCAGCCGCTGGTCTTTCAACCGATTTTCTTTTAGTAGATTTTATCTCAGCCGATTTTACCTCAGCCAATTTTCTCAATTGAGCTCTAAGTAACCTTTTGAAATTACCATCGGCTAGTATTTTTTTTCTTTTCTTGAAATTGGGCTGAGGATAGCGAGCTAAAACAATTCTTTTAGCTGATGATTGTTTTTGCCGATTATTAGATGTCACAATCGGCGAAGAATTCTGCTACATAGGTCGCTTTGCGTTCAGCCGATTTGTATCCTTCCATTCATGGCAACCATGTTGAATGGGAGCAAGATGGGTTTGCTTTATCTTTTCGTCTTGATTTACAGGAGCAACCAGCTGATTTACCACCTGCTGATACTCTACTGTTGGAACTTGCCGATAATCGACAGTCGGTGACTGATAATAATCTGACAAACTTTGCTACCAATTTTCTGGTAAAATTTCCTGCCTAGATCGGCAAAGTTGGCCAATTTCGGTACTGATTATCGGCAACCCCTCATGTAATAGAGGTTGTGACATAGGGTTGACATACTATTTACCACCTGGTCAGGAGAGGGTTTCCTGTACACGGGCTGAAGACGTTTACGCCCGTGAGCTACCTCAGCCTGGATTAGGGCTAAAATCAATGCCCTATCGATTTCTGCATTATAAATTGGATGATCATCAGGCTAAAGCGGAGCATACGGATCAACCCGCTCCTATTGTGGGTTTGCAATCACATGCCCACCTGCAACCGCCGATGGTGCTGGATTGTTTCTTCCTCGGTTCAGATTGCCCCCTATATCTTGTTGTTCTCTCTGAGGGGGAATCGGCATAACTGATGGGTGTTGTAGAATAACCTTTGCCGATTTTACATTCGGCTCAATCGGCATCAATGGTATTTCTGTTTTTATCGGCAGATTGCCGATGGGCATACTAAGAGTTGTGTTCGGTGGGACAATTCCTATCATAGTTGTTTGTGGCCCTTGAGAAATGTTTGTCAACGGTAAAGAAATACGTTAAAAATTTGATTCATGAGCTCATTAAGATGCCGAGTTTTCATCTTGATGATGACTTTGGATAGCCGATATGTGAGCCTTCATCACTTTCAAATCCTGAATAATCTCCTCCCCCAATTGGGCAAATACCTTCTGATTAAATTCTCCCATTTAGGGATTTGCTTGGGATCTTATTTCTCCCATTTGTTGATTTACCACCTGCCGATAATTGGTTGCTGGTGACTGGTTTGCCACTTGCTGATAATCGGCTATTAGTCGGTGATAACTTTCAGGCTAACCATATGACTGATTGGCCATCGGTTGCCCCTCGTCTATCACATGCCAATAATCGGCTGCTGGTGACTGGTTTATCACTTGCCGATAATCAACTACTGGAACTTGCCGATAATCAACTGTTGGCGTCTGTCGATAATCAGCAACTGGTTGCTGATAATTGTCTAGTCAACCACATGGCTGATTAGAATGCTGGTACATTAGCTGATATGAATAATCAGAATATTCGTAAGTCGGTTGAGAAACCGACTGCATATTTTTACTATAAATCACTCACCTAGTGGGGTCCCACTAGGCGTGCCAAGAATGTTGACGCTAAAATCTGCTGGCTTAGCCAAACCTAATTTTAATCTACTGCGAGCGTGCCAGAACCAATTGTATGGTTCGAATATAAGTTATCAACGCTAGTTTCTTTGAGAATATTGACTATTAGGCGATGCAAGGAGAAAAAGAACAATAAAACTCTTCTTTTGAGTTCAGGATTCCCTTAATTAAAAGGACTTTATTAGTGAATAATTATAGTAACAATTTGAGAGAATAGAAAGGGGAGAAGATATAGAAAAAAATAACAAGGATGCTATTCTGGGAAAAAGCTTGAGGAAGTAGCAATAATAGTAAATGTTTCTGAGGGTGCCGGACCTTTAGTACAGCATGCATCCTTATTTATTTATAGAATAAATCTCCTTATTTATTTATAGAATAAATCGTAAACAAATCATATACATAAGTATTTTAAATGCAATAAAACTCCATATCATAACTGAAAATAAATTCAAACTAAACAATCCTAGGCAAATACTAATTCTTAACTAAAATCAAATAAAAGATAATTATTACACATAAATCTTATCCATCATCTTACAGTTCAAAAATATTCTATCATCCGATCGGTGCGCGCTTGCACGTTGCATGTAACTTTATTTTATGCAGAATCTGCTTCATCATTGCTCCTTTAATTGTAGTCCACGTTTATGTAGAATATCGATGATTTTTCAGCCCAACTTGATTGCTACTCCAAACTACCTTCAGCCCAAACATAATCCAAGACCCAAAATATAATCCAAGGCCCAAATATCAAAATGGGTGTCAACAATAATACACCGTGACTCGAGTAGTCTTTTTTTTTTTTTTTTGGTTAAAAACCTTGAGTAGCCTTGTTGACAAGAACTGGTTCACAAGTGAGAAATTACATTTTGTCTGTAATTATATGCTTAAGTCTAAAATCGTAATTCATGTATTTCATGAATCAGTTCATCACCTAAAACTCTCCCAACACAAGTAATAGAGTCTCTTGCACCGACACCGCTTTAAATACCCAATTATTCAAGATAAATCTAATTAAAATGAGAACAATTTACGTTAATTCCCAATTCATCAAAATCACTCCAAATGATAGTCTGATACATATGAATTCGATCTAATACAATTACATTCCACAACCCAAACAAGAATACATAGATAAAACCTGAAGTTAAATAATAAAACTAAAATGCTCAAATTCGAATAGCTCAACTAAAGGCTTAACCTATGTCTTAAGACTTGAAAGATAATAAAAAATATCTAAAATTTAGGAACTACCAAGCTACGCATATATGAGAGAAAATCTTCATGGAAGTAAACCGACTCTGGTACCATCTTCTTCATCTACAAAATGTTTGATGCTAGGGGTAAAGCAAAGCCCAGGAGAACGCTAAACAAATCAATTATACACCCTATCAATTAACAAATAGGCACACATGTGGGGAAGGAATAAATAACGAAATTTGAATGATCTGGCAAATACGGAACATTTTATATATAACAAATTTTTTTTTTTTTTATAACATTTTATATATAACATAATAACCGCCAAGGAAATAATTTCATGGTTCAACCAAATGCTCATAAACAACCAAAGTCGTCCACACCGCAATCTCAGACAATTTCTGAAGCTTCCGCGGATGACTACCCCGATGGATGTATATCACTCCAATTATCCCACACTTCGTCCGACACATGAAATAAAGTGAAAGCCCGACAGATAAATGCATGAAGGACATGGGGTTGAAACTTAAGAAAGCCACCAAATACAATTAATAAAAATATGAAAGCTACACGAGCTTGAAATGGAGGCGGCATGGAGCTGTTATGATGTGTTGAAGATGGGTTCTTGTTGGAGGAAGCCTTGGTATGTCCAGAACTGCTTTATTCTTGTACCATAGATTGTCCTTGGCATGCAAGTTCAAGTTCTTCTACCTACAATGGTTTATTTTATTTTATTTTGGTATACAATGAAGCAGATCTCTTATATTGACAACATTCTCCACACATTCACATGCTCAGATATTCCCCGAGAAACTGAAGAGTAGTCGGAGTTTGATACTAGACACGTGAGTAGGAGGACAGCATATTTGAACCAATGCCATAAAATCATGTTTACGAGTAGATGGCATGAATAAGAGCATAAGTAGAATACACTTCTCAATTTTTTATCTTATTGTAAGTGGAAAATGCATACACACGAAGATAAGTCACAATTTAACAATTAAAAATTATATTTCTTCAGAAGCAGCACATACTTGTTATTCCTGTCACTAAGTTGAACTAACCAACCAATACCCTAATTACAATTTCCAAGCTTGCATATCAGTTTTAGCATAAATCCGCGCAAAGCTAGAGAGAGTGTATGAGAAGCAATCCTCAATTCCTTCTATATTTGATTCTTTCTTGAGATGAAATTGACTTGATATGAGAAAGCTAGGTCTGGCACGAGCTTCACCCATGCGTATAGGTAACCAATTTAGTTACACAATATAATGCAGGTAAAAATAAGCTGGCGAGATAAGATCTCATGTAACAAGCATGGAGTTAAAAAGACGCTAAAAACTGCTTAATAGGAAAACAAAGAGATCACTCCTTCCACGCATGTACATAATCTATGTAATACTACGCGAACATAAGCAAGCTATTATTAGCAGTTCAAAATCCTAACATTATTTACTCAATCCTGAAGTTTGACCGTCAATCCAATTTTATCCTTTTTCCTTTTCCTCCAAGTGAACATGAGTTGATAGGAGATGTAGCCAACAGATAACAGTTTAATCCATCTGCCATCAAAAAAATGTGTGCAAGAAATTTCCGACTTCTTGATGGATCCAGCACCATGCTTTCCCTGTGCAAAGGTAACTTATCAGATGGAAGAAAGAAAGAATACAATTTTTTTTTTTGTTGTTACTTCAAGAATACATTATTACCAACAGGCCAGTGGCTTAGCGGTACCAAGCTCCTACTTCTCAAAGAGAGGTCAGGGGTTTGAGCCTCAGTGAAGGCATGTGTGTGTGAGTACCAACTAGGAAAAAAAACAAAGATACATTATTGTTGTTTCTTGAGCACAGCACATAGATTCAAAGAGACCCAAGAAAGTATTTGAGTGAATCAATAAGGCATACCCCAAGAAAGATAAAGTCATTTTGAGAAGCACAAATGAAAGGTTTAACTAATTCTTTCTCCTCTTTTATGAAAGCTTCCAGTACCTTTCCAGTTCATAATGTTAGTATACACATAATACTACTTCATTTGTAAACAAAGGGTGAAAGACATGATGTAAACGCATTACAAAATCAGAATTAAGTCCTGAAACGAATATGAGCTTCATACTTAAAAATCGTAGCAACAATCAAATGCAGATACAATTTGGAGGATATAAGTGCTTTATATAATACATGTGTTTATTATTTTATTTTTGAATTATTTACTAATATTTTTTTGGGATGAGTTCAAGTAAATGGCACAAGTTCAAAAGGAGTAAGCCAAGAAGTACATATGGTAACATGTTATAACCAATGGAGGAGACCTGTGGGCACATATCATATAGCGAAGCCTAAATAGATAAATAATATTTTTCTTACATTATACTCTTTCTTTTGATAGGGAAAAAATGACCAAACAATCAAGACATGCATAACTAAGAGGTGAACATAAAATTTGTGAAGTTGTAAAAGCTAGAACCTCACTGACCAACTCACTTTATATGTAAAACATCTAAAAATACATGGCAAGGGCCAACAAATCCATCAAAATCAAGAGAGAGATAAACGACCTACTTGGTTCAGTTTTCTATTTTCTGAGTAAAAATCAGAAAATTGTACCAAAACCTGTTTGGTAGACAAAGAACTATCTTTTATAGTTATCTAAAAATAGTTTCCTGAGTTCTTGACAAAGGTTTTTAGAAAACTGAACCAAGCATGCCCAAATATTTCCATCTATAAGCGAATGGATCAAGGTACACTTTCAAATAAAATAGAAATGATAAATTTAGAAGCATATGAGAGACACAATTAAAGCAGTTACACGAGGCAAGTGCAGGACAAAGCTAATAGAAAGAAGTGACTTTGAAAAGGTGAAAGACTATAAGGGTTCATGTAAACTATGCAAATAGTATAGCAACGCAATCTATTTGAAAACACTACTACTCAACAAGAAAATGGGAAAACTAAATAGATCAATAAAGAGCTGTAGAAATTGGTTTATCACTCATATATATATATATATATATATATATATATATATATATATATATATATATATATATATATATATATATATATATATTCCACAAAATTGAGATACATTAAATTGGGAGAGAAGATGAGACGCATGGAAAGGCGAGAGAGAAAGAGAGAAATGCCAAAATTGTAACATTTTTTTAATAATATATATATATATCCAAAAGAAGGAAAATGGGAACGAAAAACGAATACCATTTGAAAAGACAATGTGAAGATAAAATTGAGGGGAGGGGGGTGTTTCATCGGGCACACTCTTGACATGTCTATTCTTTAGCAAAGGCCACATCATATATATCCCTTTTCTTTATAAGTGCCGCATCATATATATATGACCATCTGCTTGAACCAAAATATGTTTCTTTCCTCTGTCTTAAGGACTTTTTAGACGCAGGCCTTGGAATGAGAATAGCCCTATAACCCCTCATGAAGAAAAAGAGAGTAATGCCATACAGTTATAGACTTTCCATTATTATATCTTTAGGATTAGGATTCCTTGAAAGAAGCGCAGCACCCACTTAAAAATAAAGTGAACTATAGAGCATCGACCGTACTTGGCATCATTCAGACAATGCCTTTGCTTTTTTAGCTTCTACACAAGTGATTTTTACCAAAGTAATAATGTTTCACCATTTATGTGTGCTCCTAAAGTATAAATAAATAAATTTAAAAAAAAAAAAGAAAAAATAAAAAAGAAAAAAAGAAAAAGGAAAAAGATACTAATATACCCAATGAAACAGCCACAGATCTTAGAGAGAGAGAGAGAGAGGAAACATAAAATATCATTTCTGGAGGTATCATTACAGAATTTATGTTCAAATACGAGTCAAAACTATGCTTGCTATATTCTAGCATCAAATCTTTACTATTACTAAGCATCTCCATGCATGGTGGTGTGGATTCATACATAAAAATCTCATTTACTACTGAGTTACTAGTCAATACTCATCTCAACAATTTATTTTACCAACTACTTGAATAACGTAAATAATAGATCTCATCTCTAAATCTATTACTAGGAATATCATATATAAGGTATAATACAAATTTAATTTATAATAGCCAATAAAATAAAGTTAAAAGAGAATAAAGTCAACCCTACTCTACACAAACTGCCAAAATTTATTTACTTAGGGCTGTTCACTAATAGGAATTAATTCCTGTTTTTGCTGTCAATTCCTAAAATCAAGAATCAAGAGTGCAAATCATGTTTACTAATATAATTTTACTTTGCGTCTTTTATAAAGTACTTTCAGATTTTTTTTTTTTTTTCCTAGTTGGTACTCACACACACTTGTCTCTTCTGAGACTTGAACCCCTGACCTCCCTTTGGGAAGTAAGAGGTTGATACCGCTAGGCCATTGGCCCGTTGATAGTACTTTCAGATTTAATTAAGGGAATGAAAAGTAACAAAAATGTGCTTTCTCGATTTCTCCACTGTTCACAGGAATTACTTTCTCTAGCACTATTTATCCAAAAACAAAAAACTCTAAAATTATGCATCACCCATTCCTCCACCCAAGCCGCCTTCTCCCCACCATGGCCACCGCCACCGCCACCGCCAACAAAATTATCTTATCACCCATCGCCTCCACTCACCTCCTCCCCACCATGGCCACTGCCACAAGCATCTCTCTCCTCTCCCATACACCTCAAAACCCATCAACAAGATACCCAAATCAACTTGAACTAGTCACAAAAAAATATATATAAAAACAAAAAAACAAAAGCGTCCCTCGCTGTCAACCGCCACTGCCGGCAACCAATGCCACCATCGCCACCACCGAAATCTTCTTTGGTTTATGTTAGAACGCCTCTCTCTCCTCTCTGTCTCTCTCTTTCTCTCTCTATAAACACTCACTTCCCATGGAGCTATTGGCGATGGCAAAACCCACCCTCAAAATCGAAGGATTCAACAGAGGAATCTCTTTCGAGCGGCTCGAATTCATTAGAGGAAGAGCAAATGGCTCAAACCAACGAGGAGGAAGATGAGGAAGAGCTCGAGGCTGTCACCAGGCTGATTCCGATAAGGATGCCAACGGTAAGTTGCCGTCAGACAATGCCATCGCCGGTGATGACCAGGAAGAAGAAGGAGAAGAAACTGAAGAGGTAATTCACGATTACATGGGTGGCGGCTTTTGGTGGTGGTGAGTGGAGAGAGAAGAGTTGAAGAGTCGGGAGCAATTTTTACAAAATCAAAATCATAATTACTGAACTTGCTTTCTAATTTCTTGCTTTCAAAATATTGAAAGCATAAAAGATTATTGAACATGATTCTACTTGGTATTTCAGCTTCAGAAATGAAAATCATGATTTTGCTTTTAGAGAAAGCAAAAATCAGGAAGTGAAAGGGTTAGTGAGCAGGTCCTTGCTGATCTAACTTGCATACACTTAAAAATAAATTAAAATTGAATAGATTACACTGCTCAAGCCAAAGCCGACTCTGGGGCAACTCACAACATCTAGGGTTTCTCTGCGCGGAGAAGGTGGAGTAACATATGGAAGAGGGTCACACCTCCTCCTCACAGCCACCGGGGGCAGTCTCTATCCAGCAGGGATCTCCTCCACGACAAACTTGGAGAAGTTTTTTCAATCATACAACACAATCCACGTTTGTAAACTTGGATTGTCATGATGACTGTAGAAGCTGTTAAATGTCATGATTGTAGTATTGGATAACGGTCATTGGTATTATTGTACTTTTGTTGGTCTTATATATAAGATTGAGGGGTGTGTTTTACTTACGCCTCTTATTTCCTGTGAGATTTCTCTTCTTTATTCTCTTTCCTTGTCTCCTGTTCTTCCTCTAATCTAACCCTAAAACACACGCATGCAAATTTTAACTTGGTATCTGAGCAGCAGATTGAAGTTAGAATAAATTTTTATCAAGTTGTAGGAGATCAGAAAGGTTGAAGGTTGCCATCTGTACACTGATGTCAGTATGACTCCTTCTTGACGTCAGTAGCTACTAGTCAACAACCACCTGATCTGGCTTGCCTGAATTTTCTGGTAATTATGGTGGCCTTGGTTCTTCATTTTGACATTGTTTGAGGGCAGTTTTAATTTTTTGAAACACTGTCTACGTTTCACCCAAGATTTTTCGATCTGCATATTGGGGTCTTTTCTGATGTTTTTGTTTGTTGAAACCTAACCTAAAGGGACCATCTAGACTTTGAAGGTGCTTGGTTAGTGTTAATTTGTTGCTTCACTACATCTGGAGTGTTCTATTATCAAAAAAAATTTGGTTCTGCAGTCGCCTCCTTGTCTTTGGCAGTTACCCACCTGCTGTTTTTGACCTTCAAATCCCTCTGTAAGTGCTCTTAAATCTGTTCGGATGCTTGGGCTATAGAAATCTGCATAAGAATTGGGATTTAAGATCTTGAGTTGGTAGCATGATTGATGAATGGATGTTTGTTTGTTAAATCTACATTTTTGGCTCCTAAACCGTCAGAATTACACCTGCTATTGTTTGGATCTGCCTTGTTTGTATGGAGGAAACTCAATACTGGATTTGCAATTAAGAGCTCAGCCTCTGAAACTTGTTATCCATTGATAAGGAACATTGTACAAGCAGACTCTTCTGCTGCAGTGAGTTGGAATTACTTTG